AGAAGCATTTTCTGTAGAGTTTATGCAGTATTTGGCATTTTTGCATACACATGGTTTTTGTGTACCTCTTAATTTCTCTGAGGGCGGATATTACTCAGGAAAGCCTTTTTTTCTCTCTCTATTTAGAAAACAATTGTAATTACTACTTATTATCTGAAGCAGTTACACATACATTAGACTCACTTTTTGCATGAAAACAAAAAGCATGTGCATCACTATTATAAATGTTATATATTACCAATCTCTGAATCCTGAATAGTAACTTACAGTAATATTTCTCTATTTCTTGTGAAAGATTTTACAGCAGGGTGTTGTCACAAAGTTTTGTTTTAAAAAAAGACTGTTTCAAAAGAATATTTTATAATAGCATAGCTCCTTGTCTGATATTCTAACTGCCATGGTAACAGAAACAGTGGTATGCTACATAACATGCTCTTAGTTTAATTTCAATTTTAAATGAGAGAAGTATTGCTAATTCTTCATTTAGATGTGTTTATTTTGTGTTTTTAATTGCTTCAATAATTCACAGGACCTATTTGGTCCTTAGTGTGAATGGCCAATTTTGAGATCCCTACTATTAATTGGATGTGAGATACTGGAGCTTAGCATATTCATCAGGTTAATCATGTTTGCATACTAAACAACTGACTGCAATAATCAAAAATAGGTGGTAATTTTTGGGGGGTGTAGTTATCAGGGAAATGAACATTTGATCCTTAATTCAGTGGAGTATGATAGCCACAGAAATCTCATCAATCCTTTAGGTATAAGTAGAAATTGCTTTGTGCATCTATCAGAAAATAACAGATGAGTCTTAAATACATTTTAATATCTTCAGAGAAGACAGGTTTGTTAGAAAGGAAAGAAACGAATCTGCAAAATTGAGGAAAGAAATATATTAGCCTACTCAGTTAATTGTAGAACTAAAATTATGTAAGACTTGGAGGGGAGGGAAATTAAGTGACAGTACATCAGTTACACCAAATTGTGCTGATTGTGTGGATATATTTAATTATAGCATTTTTTATTTAGAAGTTTTCATTCTGCTCATTTTAATGAATGGTTAGTATTTAAAAATATAGAATTTCAGCATTTGTTTCATATCTTAATAACTTACTATAACAATCTTTCTTTGAAAGTTGTTCTGCTTGCATGGATGTTCAAGCTAAATTGTCCTTGTGACCAGGAGGATACAAAAATTTTTTTTTACATTTACCTCACCAATTTTATATGTGGGTCTGTAGAAGTACCAGAATCACATTTTACTTTCTTGCTTCTGGTAGTGTACATATTGGAAATGTAAGAAGAATTGCATTTATCTGTTTCTATCTTGCAGTTTTTGGAAACCTTATGGTAAATCTGGAAAACATAATATTTTAACAGGGAGGAAAAATGCACTTTCAAAGACATTTTTGCTCTGTCCATATAAACGAATAGTGAATTTTTATCCCCTTTTTGGTGTTAGAAGGGATTGAAAAATCCACTGAAGCCTGTGCTAACTTTTGATGTACATATGTTTGTATATTAAAAAAAATAAATAGAAAACTATGAAGAAAGTAATTATGCCTAAAGACTTAAAATTATTCTCTATGGGTTTCTGTAGCTCTGGACCTCAATGCCTTGAATTTTTATTAACAATCTTGAACTGCTATCAGTATAGGCAATCTACTAGCCAAAGCTGAAAAAACATCTGACTAGTGTAGCTCTGGTCAGTTCATCCTATCTTCCCACATGCACCATACCATATATAGGGTATCCTTTCTAATGTGAAAATCCCCTTCGCCCTCCCTCCCTTCATTGCAAACATCCTTCTTCCCTGCATTCCATTCTCCTTTACACCCACCCTGCCTTCTTCACCAGGCAGCCATGGCCCTGCGTGCCTCTGCTCCCGCACCCTGGCTATGTGTGTCCCTATCCCACTCAGAAATGAAGGATTGACACGGTGCCTCTTTTCTGGTTTTTAACTGCTTGACTGATACACTAAAGCTGATCAGAAATCTTTTTATTGAATGTATTTTTCCTGAAAATTGGCGCTGTGTTAATAGAAAATGATTCTGCTATAACTACTGGGGTTTAATCAGGAAGGTTTTCTTAAGGTTTTTCTCTTCAGGTGAAGGCAAACACCAGGCTTGGTAATAATAAATATACTGAACTTTGGGTGCTTACCTGAACGCATAGACCAAGACTCTTGTCTTCCCTTTTAACTGCTTGTCTCTTTTAATTCAACCATCTTTTGTGTTTTATGACTGTATGGCTATTTTATTTCTGTGTACTCTTATGAGAATTTTTTGTGTGGTTTGTATGGCTGTTGATTACTGTGTATATGTTGTTGAGACACTTAAGGCACTTTCTGATATTGCTGTTACTGAGGTTCTCAATAGCAGTGCTTTGCAGATGGTTTTATGAATCAGCATTAAGAGTTTAGGTAGGAAAATATGCTAAGTCAAAGGTTTTCCATCATTGGATCAGTTGTTGGAGTGATTTGGTGTTGAGAATATATGTTTAAGTCTGAATTTGCACGAGTTTCTCTAGTGCTCAGTGACCTTAGACTGGTCATTACTCCAAGTGACAGGAGCAGCATTGACACAACCATCTCCGTAAGTCAGGTGCTACATTTTTGTTTCTTTCCATCCGTATATGTGATGCTTTATTCGTTTTTCCACATAACTTTTTTTTTTGGACTAATTTGTTTATTCTGCCTTTCTTTTTCCCTGTACACACATTTAAACCATTGTATTGTGTCATCTGTCCAGCACTACTGCTCTTGCCTAAACACCTATGTAACACAGAAACATGTGCAGACTCTGAACTGCACATTAATACTTTTGCTGCCATTGACACTTTTGAGGACTTGAAGAACACAGCGAACAGCTATTTACACTGCATAGAGTCTTAACAGAATTTGAAGTTTTATACAGATACTGAGAAACATGTCTGGCATAATCATGCAAGAATTGATCAGATGCCAAGTAAGGTATCCATCTTCTTCCCTCCTTCCTTCAATCGTGTATTGATTTTGTGGTTTGGTACATCATCTTTTACAGTACAATCAGAATATCAAAACTACTTACTACCTCTTTTAAACATTGTTTTGTTTTGGGATTATTGGGTTTTGAGGGTTTTGAGCAGTTGCTGGGCCTTCATAATTCTTACAGTTTACTTTGAAGTGTAAGAAAATATATTAGAGAAAACCATGTACTGTGTTGAACAGTTGAGAAGCAAGGTCAGAATGTGCATGCCCACATGCATGCAAGCTAAGTGGGATAATTTGGGGGATCTGATATTATACAGATGACTCATTCTCTCTCTGAGATTGTGAAATTTGTCACAGATGCGCATTTGTTTTTTTTCTCTCATGCTGAGATAAAATTCACAGATGAGGCGATGAGGAGACAGGGGTAGTAATAATGATTTCTTCAAATTGTGTTGCCCACTGAAATTAAACTGGGCTACGAGTTGTTATTCCTCAGAGCACTTGAGCTTTTCCAGGCTGTAAGTCTTTGAGGAGTGGAAGCTAAAAGCTTTGGATGCCATCTGAGTTTGACTGCCTGGAAGAGAAGATTGGAGAGTAACCTGCTAACAAGTCTGTTAAGCATGATGAGATACCTGCAGGAAGGAGCCCCTGGTGGTCTGGTGGTTAAGGACGCGGTGCTGTCACCGCCGAGGCCCGGGTTCGATTCCCGGTCAGGGGCCCTCCCCGGGCAGATGGAGCTCGTTAGCCCTGTAAGGCAATCCATCTACGTCCTGAGGACCTCGCTGCCACTGTCCAAGCGTGCTTGGCCCCGGCAGATGAACCTCAGGATTAAAGGGTGGGCTCAGTTCCGCGCACACTGTGTCTCACCTAAAAAATCCAATGCGCAGGCTGGAAGGTGGAAAGACCTTCCCCGGTTCTTCATTCGCGAAGACTGGCC